TTTTTTAATGTTCTTTTTTTCTGTGTCATTTTTACTCAGAAACTCAGCCAACATGTCTATCCAGCCGTATTCTGATGAAGAGCTTAACTACTTCAAGTTTGCGTCATTCGTCCTAAAGGAATTCCCAGATGCTTTGCGTAGCATCTTTGTAGACATGTGGGACACCAGAGTTGCACCAAGTTCCACTGTTTGGGATGACTCGCCTCTTGTACGCAATATACTCCACAAGAATGAGGCTCCAAACACAAAAATCCCCACGAACGACTCATTTAAAAAGTGGGACTGCACTGCACTATTTCAAGCCACTCTGTATGCAAGAACATTTGCTCTACCAGACAGCACAGGAAAGAAAAAGACGCTTGGAGAAATGTATTTAAACGGACGAAAGCCAGTCCCTGCTCCATTCCACTCTGCCGTGAGAAGCTCGAGTGGAGATACAAATGAGACGATTGCACTTGCCATTGACCAGCTTCGTCTTTTACGAAACACACTTTGTCATACATCCAGCCCTCAAATTAATAAAGTCACCTTCGATGACTATGTCAAGCACGCCACAGATGCGTTCACTGCTTTGAATTTTAGCACGACATCTCTGGAGAAAATTGGCAATTTGAAAGAATCGGATTTTCCTACAAAGGAAGTAGAAAAACTTAATCAGCGAATCAATCGTCTGAGGAATGATTTCCACCTGTTTCTCGAAAATGAGGTTAAACATGAAATGAGTGAAGTGAAATATGAAATGAATGAAGATGGAGTAAGTGAAATGAAAGATGGCGTTAGTAAAATGAAAGATGGAATGAGTGGAATGAAAGATGGAATAAGTGAAATGAAAGATGGAGTTAGTAAAATGAAAGATGGAATGAGTGGAATGAAAGATGGAATGAGTGAAATGAAAGATGGAATGAGTGGAATGAAAGATGGAATGAGTGGAATGAGAGATGGAATGAGTGAAATTAAAGATTAAATGAGTGGAATGAAAGATGGAGTAAGTGGAATGAAAGATGGAATGAGTGGAATGAAAGAAGGAATGAGTGGAATGAAAGATGGAATAAGTGAAATGAAAGATGGAATGAGTGAACTGAATCAAAAACTGAGTAGCATTAAAGGAGTATTAACACAGACAAAAGATGCCACAGGTATGATGTTTATGTAATATTATACCTTAATTATTAATTTCCCAATTGGAAAGCTACATTTACACAATATCAGGATCATTAAATGTATCGTTAAATTCCGCAGGCGTTGTTTTCAGCTTCGTAAGTTGATATGCCCCGCTCCAGAGAAGTATTCTTCATTCGTCAAAATAATATTTCACCGAATTCCCCAACATCAGTGTTTGGTCGTTGATGGTTGTTCAAACCATTTCTAGCTGCAGGCAGTGCATCATCAAATAGACTTTCTTAAAAATACAAAGATTAGTTGCTCTGCTCGGCAAACCATCCAAGGGGCAAGGGACAATCAAGAAGTCGACAAAGGAAACTTTCGGTTGAGTGGTAAGCATGCTTTCACTCCCAAAAAGCAAAAGAACAAAATCAATATAAATGCTGATGAACGGCTTTTGACAATACATACACATTCTCAAACTCATTAATAATTCATAAACCAAAAACAAAACAAATTAATGTTTAATCAGTGTTTTGAAACTGGAAGAAAACTGTCTTCAAAGCAGGTCGGGGATTTGAAATTTCCAGGGGTCAGCGGGGCTGATTAAGTATTCATTTTCAAACTATTCATTTTCAAGGTACTAGTAGTTTGAAATATTTCAAAGTACTGGTGGTACACTGAAATTATGCTACAGATTGTTCTGCCATTAACAAAACTATACAAAGCAAGATAAAACACACTTTAGCACACATCCATCTTTAACTATAACACGAATGTCTCGCTTGTTCTGCAATCATGCGCACTTAACAGGCTGAAACGCTTTAGAACTCGCAACTTTTTCGGCTTTCCCGACTGGTGGTGGTGCATGCAGGTAATCTTCCATAAACTGAAACTAATCAAACTCAAAAATATCGTTATCTGTCTTACTCACCTTGCCGAGACCAATATTGTCAGCCAATACTTCGCCTTCATTCCTTGAACAAAGTTTGAAATCGACTTGAAATCGTTCTCTGCCATGTCTCGCACTCTCCCTTACAACAACATGTACACGCTTGTCGCATGGCGTAGCATTCGCAGCATATATTTTTAAGTAAAAATATTCATGCGTTGAAAATTGCACAATTGATGAGTTTGACAAGTCAGTTCAAATACTCGTCCTCGGACTTTACCGGGATTTCAAAGTCCTCGAGCATTAAAAAGGCTCGCCTGCGGCTCGCCTCTTTCAAAACGCTCTCGGACTTTGAAATCCCGGTAAAGTCCTCAGTCTCGTATTTTAACTATTACATAAAGTATAAGCTCTGGGTATTTTTCCCTGCCAGTAAAACGCCCGCCAGTAAAACGTTAACAAGGGAAGGGGTCCATAGTATTCGTGTGCTTTTTGGTGTTCAACATAGCGATTCAGGGTAAGGGAATAAACTGAGTACATGCAAACATTAGTATATGTAAATTGGACGTTATAAAAGTGGTCTATTTCGAATGCTAAAAACACTTCACTCATCGTGTACAAATATCATGCAGAACCGCATACTACAGTATGTTGTACTCTGGATCGCGTATATCGATTTCAAACCATCATCGTCCATGGACAATTTAATCCCTGGACCCCCCAAACCATAACATCCTTCAATTGTTCTCCAACAATGCTTTTTAATGCGAAACTAGAAACGGTACGGCCCTCTTGTTAATATAGCTATACTGTAGATAAGCGAGTTTTAGCTATTACAAACAACCGATAAAGTAAGCCTAGTTCAAGCGCCGAGTAAGATAAGCATAAGCGGGAATACAAAAGAAAATTTGCCTTTGGGACTTGTCAAGATAAAACAAACAGAATTTTCTTTTCAATGTCTTTTGTTTCCTTTTGCTTGTGTTTATGTCGAAGGTTATGTTGCATTCTTCAATGCATTTCCCTTTTTTGCCATTTGTCCTTTCTTATCCAGCTTGTGCTTATCTAACTTGTGTGAACTTTTTAGCTTCTTTCCAAATCATATTGATACTGGGCAGTAGACTCGATACACTTTCCTTTTGTTCACGCTTTAACATTGACACATATGTCTAAAGAATCCTCGAGACTAGTTTGTTGAAATCTACACGATTCTGCCACTTGTAGCGTTGGTCAATCAAATCATCTTCCAAACAATGGGAAACGTGCGTTGTCTGAACAACTCCATGTACGGGCCGGTGCACCCATTTATGAATAGAATGTCCACAGTCCCTAGAGTATACCGACTTGACCAGCCGCGGCGTTTTTCTCTGATTCTCCGGTATGGATTGTCACTCGGGGCAGCACCAATATTACTAGAAAATACATGCATGCAGAAACCCTCGCCTTGCTGACAAAACCATTGTATTTTCCGAACATGAAGTATCCAAAGTTGATGTCATGGTAACACGATAATTTTTTAAGAATATTCTTACAAATGAAAAATCGCCTAAAAATATCACTTTTAATTACAAAATTATCAATTTCCCAACATATATATGTTAGGTATGTTATTATACGTAATATAAGCTTCAATTTAAGGTAAAATTCAACCACAAAAGCTTCGCAAAACGTTTTAAAATGTTCTTTATAAAACTATTAAAACTGCCTTTAATTATTAAAATGGTTTTATCGATAAACTTTGAGTTTGCAATAAAATGATTTCAATTTCTCGCATGCAAATAACTTTGCTTTCTATTTTATTTAAAAAATTCAATATAGGCCTAATAAAAAAGGGAATCAATATTATTAATACACTGAAATTATATGCTGTCTTGTTTAGTTGTTTCATATACGCAAAGCCAAAGGGCCAAAGCAGCCGTCGGGGTTTTAAAGCA